AAAAAAAAATTAAAAAAAATAAATAAATAAATAAATAATAATAATAATAATAATAATAATAATAATAATAATAATAATAATAATAATAATAATAATAATAATAATAATAATAATAATAATAATAATAATAATAATAATAATAATAATAATAATAATAATAATAATAATAATAATAATAATAATAATAATAATAATAATAATAATAATAATAATAATAATAATAAATATCAATTGAACTAAACGGAAAGACCCCCCCCCCCCCTCGAAACTGAACCAAAAAAACATGAAAATAATTCCTCATATTTTATGGGACACATACATTTTCATTTTTTCAAACTATGACGGCCCCTTGAACGATCCGAAAGGGGACGTGTCCATGCCTTTCAAACCATTCAAGGTCGCCTTTCCAATAGATGGGCAAGTTTGGAGGATTGTTATTAATAGAAAACATTGACTTCGATTACATGGTTAACGCACATGTTAGTGTTTGCAAGGGAGTTGGAATGGTGAGATGGGGGGAGGGGGGTTACACGGAGCAAAAAACAAATAGTTCATGCATCGATCGAGCAAAGGATCCAATCGAGACAGTGTTTGAGAAACACTTGAGACGGTTGTCTCGACAAAATTGGTATTGCGTAATGGAGCTCTAAAACAATACGTGAGGTAATGTCGTATGGTCTCTATGATCTCACATTCTTCTGAAATGCATACGAGGCCCTTAAACAGAACGAAGAAGAAAAAAAAGAAGGAGAAGGAGGAGAACAAGTAGAAGAAGGGAAAAGGGAAAAAGGAAAAAGGGGGAAACGAGGAGGAGGATCAGGAAAAAAGGAAAAAAGGGAATACATCAACCTTCAGTTTCTAAATCATCATTATTCATCACTATCATTTTATCATCATCATTATAATGATTATCATCAATATCGTCATCACTTTCACCATCATCACACGAATTATCACACTTACATTTCTTTATAATCATCACCACCATCATCTTCATCACCACGACCATCATCATCATCATCATCATCATCTTCATCACAGCAACCATCATCATCATCACTATCATCTTCATCCTGGCAACCATCATCATCATCACCATCATCTTCATTACCACGACCCTCATCATCATCACCATTATCTTCATCACCACGACCATCATCATCATCACCATCATCTTCATCACCACGACCCTCATCATCATCACCATTATCTTTATCATCATCATCACAGCAACCATCATCATCATCACCATCATCTTCATCATCATCATCACCATCATCATCATTCCCCGTGTTGCCGCCCCCCCCCCCCCCCCCCGATGTCTGCACCCACGCTACGCCATACTTGTACATATTGGATCGAGGAGCTTGAACCCACCACTTTTTAGTTCACCTTTCTGCACTTTTACACGATCCCAACTCCCGGCCTGCATATTAAATAAATAACACTGGTCTTGTCATTATAATGTCAAGCAACTGACTGTCCTGAAGCAATTGGGAAAGGGTGATTATGTACATACCGCCCTCAGAGCACTCTGCCAGCATTGGGCAAGGAGACAGTGTATGTATTTCATATTAATGTCATGTCGATTTAAAAGTTTAGGAAAAGAGTTATAAATAACTAAAGTAATGAAAGTATTGTATCTATCTTAGATCTTATATCGAAACCCTTACAGTTACATCCCATTATTAACATTATACGATGGATCGAAAATATAGCTTTAGCAAAATAATATATTTACCTTTAGTGGGGAAAAAGTAATTGCTAGAACCATGTATTGGCATGTCGGCCACTGACTGGTTTTATTGGGCCGGAGAGGGGGCATATGCCCGCATCCTAGGAATGAATCACCATTGGTGTGTTCTAGGATCATGGTATGTCTTAGGATATTCAGAATGTATCCAATTTTGTAGATCTCCAGATATGCCCCCAGTAGAGAATTGTTGATTGATTCGTATCCATTTGGAACATATTGAGAAAGGGTCAATATAGATCGGCCGAATTTCCGTTTTATTTCCATCAAGGGTGTTGGAATTGGGTCTATTTAATTAAGGAGGAACACGTCAGCGCTCTAGTATCCCTCTTCAAGTTTATATGTTTTGTACAAATTACAAAAAGCACTTCTGATTGTCATCGTTTCAAGTGCTGTTTTGCGTCAACTTAGCTCCTCTGGCCTACGTCGTCCATCTTTCCTTCATTATACAGTATAGTGTCAGTGACATCACTCTGGAGCGTAGGTGAATCGATCAAATATTTCCGAGGATTTTGTCTCGGTCCTTCACTCTTTCTCTTAGATTGAAATGTCATTGAACAAGAGTTGTTGAGTACACTTACATTTAGAAACGTGTTCCTAGCTCTATTATTGACGGAATGTCTGGAAGTGCCCTCGGTGCCGCTTTCCAGTATTCGGCTTCTGTTTTGTTACCCCCACCCCCTCCCCCTCTCTTTCTTTTCTCTCTCTCTCTCTCTCTCTCTCTCTCTCTCTCTCTCTCTCTCTCGCTCTACCCACTCTCCTCCCTTTCCCCTCATCTCTTCTCACCCCTCTCTCTCTTCCTCTCTCTCTCTCTCTCTCTCTCTCTCTTTCTCTCTCTCTCCATTTCTCTCGTTATCACCCTTATCCTTAATACGTCAGTCAGTAAAAGTATTTTATTATAATGAAATGAAATAAAGAAATGACAGAATATACTGTTCGTAGGCTAAGTATATTGATTATTCATACACAGTTAGTACATTTTAATATCAAAATAATAACTACTTCAAAGGATATAAATAGAAAATTTGCAGTGATCAATATTATATCTTGCAGCGATTTTCCTTTTCATTTGTTCATCAATACGCCCCCCCCCCCCCAAAAAAAAAGATTTCTTCCTTTTGTCACGCAGGTCATACATGGCCACCCTTTAGCTATCAACCCAACACCTACCCCATAGGACACTATCCAACCAAAATACCACATTGGATCAATTACTCCTGGACAATTACACGCTGGAAACCTATCCACCGGATAACTATCCCAACGAATTCCCCCTGAACAACGATCTTCTAGGACAATTCCCCCTGCGATACTATTTAAACGACTATACCCCCTGTAAAACTTCACTCTTAACTACTCTAGGACAAAATGTACCCTGGAAACCTATCCATTCGATAACTATCCCAACGGAATATCCCCTGAACAACTACCCTCTATAGAGGGCAGCTGTTCAGGCTTCCTGGTTGTTCAGGACAACTACCACTGAGACAACTAGTCCTTGGACATATACCCCGGACAACTATCCCAACGAAAATTTCGCCTGTGAACAACGATCCTCTTCAACATCTACCCCTAGAATACTATTTAAATGACTATACCCCTGGAAAACTTCACTCTAACTATACCCCAGGACAAATGTACCTGACAACCATCCCTATGACAACTATCACAAATTCACAGGTAACTATTTTTCCGGAGTTAACTGTCAGAGGATAATTATTCGGGTTAACTATCCTATGACAAATTTTCCCGGGGGATTTCCCGAAGGTGGTAGTCCAGATGGTATATTTCCAAGACTAATCTATAACAGATAACTACCAAAAGATAATTTTATCATTTTAAAAGCTTGACAATGACCATGATTTTGATGCCCTGAAACGTAAACGAAAAGTTTGGAAGAAAAATGCATAATAGTGCTTCTACTCCTTAAAAAAAGAGAAAATAATGCCGTTTCTTTCATATTGAACGAATGTTTCAAAACTTGGGCACTTTAACACTTTTAAGACACTTTAAGATGGTATATACATGATAGTTGCGATATGATGCAATATATATGTTTATGTACTAACATATCTGATACTCCGATCGCATTTGACACCTTACCAATGCATCACATTCAGTTTAAAGATATATTTAACCTTCTAGATTAGAAAGATCGTGTATATAGTTCTAATCTTACATACAGATAAACGTTATATAAAAACACACATTTACAGATAAGAATTCACTTATTTAAATATATAAATTCATTTGTTATGATCATGCATACTCTTTTCTACTCCTCAATGTTTTTATTTACAAGTGAATTTTGATGAAAGAGTATAAGTAGCAGCAATGTTTTTATTATTGAAATAAAATCTTCATCATAAAATGCGTCAAAAATACAATTTCTTTATCCATTCTTAGCATTAAACATTGATTTCCAGAAGTAAATGTAAGGTTCATTTACACTAACGTCTAAACAGAGATGTTGCTTGCCGCGTTCCCGGGTCGTGTGAATGTCTCAGTTAATACATGAGGCAGTGTTTGCAACATTTTACATTTTTTAACTACATTGATTCGCACTTTGTTCTTCTTTTTTTGGTTATTGATCTCATGTACATTTCAAGGAAAACAATACAACAGATTCTATTCAACATGTTGCCTTCCAGACCTATCATATTTCCAACATGAGTCCGAGTTACTGACGCAAACAGATTAACAGAACTATAGATTATTATAATAATGAACGTGAACTGAATAAGACTTCAAAGCAGGTGAGTTCTTAGAGGCATGCAGTTAACAAACCATTTCAGCAAAAATTGATACTTTTGTTAACATATCATTGTTAAGAATATCTTAATCTTGTCTCAAATGTGTAACTGACGTAATACGTCACAAGTGATTTTCTATAATAATTTGGACTTATTCAGCCCAGGACATCCACATCATTAGAAATACTGCTCTTTCCCTATACGACTTGCGATGTCTAGCAAAGGGACGTTAGTGCCAGGCTGGGACTCGAACCCTCAACCCTTAGTGGAGGTGTCGTGGTCAAGTGGATACGCCATCGAACTGTGGATCACAAGGTACGCGGTTCGAGTCCCACCTCGGCACTAATGTCCTTTGGCAAGACATTAATCTAAATTTGCCACACTCGACCCAGGTGATGTAAATGGGTACCTGGCTGGCAGGAATTTATGCTAGAGCGCCGTAATGGCAGCCATGCTACAGCCAGGGTAATAATTTATTGTGGAGCGCTAGGAGTGTCAAGTCTGGAAGATTATGAGCGCTATATAAGAACCCATTATTATTATTAATTGACTGAAAGTTAAGTGAATGAACCGCTATACCACGACACATGTATACATGTACACTATCATCACCACGTCTCCGGAACATGTTCTGTGCCTTGTATGGTTGAATGTCCCTGAACGGCATATCCAATGGTTCTAATAATGAGGATTCCTTTAACTACATAGTATGAAGGTAGAACAATAATGCAAATAGAATAACGAGTTATCTATAATTATGTCATGCATCTAATATTTGTTAGAAAACTTTTTACATGGCACTCTCTTAATTGTGAAACAATACCACAGAATGATAATAATTCAAACAAGTACTTCACGGAATATGTTTAAATCGCTCCCCGAAGACACTGATTCCTTCGACTTGTCTTGAGTTTCAACCAATGTTTCATGTCCTGTAGGATCGGTCCTTACTCCTCTCAGGTCACCGTGTTCAATCTCATCCCGATTCATACTGTCACAATGAGTTTCTGTTGTCCTCGTGGAGAAGACTTCATTTGTATAAGGACAGTGTTCGGTACCACTGCAGTGGTCTTTGGCCTCTCTTGCAATCTCAACCTCAACCACCTGTGATCTGCTCTGACTCGTACCGCTACGCATCGCTTCAAGATTGTCCGACGATCGGCTCCTTGAGCCCGCACAGCAGAGCTTTGACCCACTCACATCATTTGTAGAACCACTACTGCTCTGTTCTAAATCACCTCTTCTGAAGTGATGATGAATTGAAGCACCTGCTAGGAATTTACCTCCATTTCCTTTACCGTTGTTTCGCATGTACAAACAATTGTTATTGGAGTTAGCGTTTAAGAGTTGGTGGTCGTATGACTCCCTTCCTATGTTCTGTCTCTCACAATCCCGAGATGGGAGGTTCCGATAAGTGACGATTCCATCACTGTCCCTCTCAGGCGGTAGCGTCGGTGTCCGGGAGAGAGACTGGTCCTTCCCATTGTAAAGCTCGCCCGGAGGACAATCAGCAAACATTACTCGACCAGGTCGTTTACGTCGACCTGCACTTGGTCCATCTGACGATGAGTTGGGTCGATGTTTGTGGCAGTTGACAAGGATGCCTCTTTGGACCGGTTTGCCTAGCTTCCAGTCTCCCTGTCTCCTTTAGAGGATATTTAAGGAATTCAACAAAAGGAGAAAGATGTTAAGACTCTAAAGATACAAAAAAAAAGGCGTGCAACATAGGCCTAAATAAAATAAGCATGAAGATCCATTCAGTATAAATATCGAGTTCATAGCGTTTCTTGCGACCAAATTATCATTTCAACATATTCTAGGTACCATGTTTCCCTTCCCCATATTTTGTTTCCTCTGTACGGACCCCACTGTCTATAAAAAATATGTCTCATGTCCTATGTGGTAGAAATCTGCGTCGAGTTTAATCAGCTAATTAACTGAGGCGTCCACCTATTTACACACGAATGACATTTTATTTATTACATGGAGGGAGGGGGAATTGTGGGAACGGTCCCAACATCATTGAGCATTAAAGCCAATAAGGCGTTATGTAAAAGTGTCGTATGTAATGGTTTTATACCCCTAGGCTTTTTTCTTGGTGAGACTGTATTTATTTAACAATCAGGACCTCTTCATGGGGCATTAGGCAAATTTATATTTCATAAGTCACATCAAGTGCCACATTCCAACTATTTTATATCAATTGCGATGAAAACTAACCAAAAAAAAATTGCGTACATTTTTGTTATGATCTATTCTTCTCCCCGGATGTCTACTCAATTTAAATGAAGAAAAAAAAGAAGCTACTTTGTATTAATACGTAGTACACAATGATCAAGGGAGGGTGTCGCTGTATATGGCATCTTGGAGAAAGGATAACAAGATATTACACAATTGCTGATAAAATTATGCGTTTCCCTCATGGTGAGACTGAATTCTCAAGAGTTTCTTCCTTTTTAAATTCCTCTTCACCTCTTTTTGGTTTTTCTACAGACAGCGGTAACGCTTTTCCCGACGGCTTACGAATCTTGACTACACCCTTTGTGGAAGTTTTGAAATTCATAAATTTAGAGTACCACATAGCGCTTATAGCAAGTTCTCAGTTCTCGTGAGTTTTGAATAACATGAATACTTATATTTGTGAACAGGATGTCAAGGGCGATTGCTGTTTGACTCAATTGGTGAACCTGATATTAAATTTTATTTCAAGTATATTTCCCAAAACCGATTTGATAGATCGGGTATTTGGGGTAACAAATTTCGCGTAAAATTGTGCAGACATCGACATCAACACTCATGTCGTCTGTGATGTTCTTGGTCATATTCTCCTTTCATAACCTACACTATTCTCCTCTTAACCTATCGCACATTCAATAATCTGGCTCTATAATTCATTTCACTAAACACCCAAATCCAAATGTCGTTCTGGTTCACGTTTCGTCTAGTAATATAAGGCTTACGGAAATCCAAACTAAAAGAAACGGGGGGGGGGTAAAGCATTTGTGCCAGCAGCTCCTTCTCTGTTGAATAATTTCCCCCTTTCTCTTCAAACATCCAATACCCTTCAAACTGTTATAACCATTCTTAAGACCGTACACTCGCTGGTTACAAGTGAGCTTCCCTTGTTGAACAATGGAGTACATATTTTTATTGAATTACTATGGGGCTTTTTTATATTACATATATATATATATTTTAATATAATAGCCTAATGGTCCACTCCAAATTTTATTAAACCGAAACGGAAATTCTTTTTGCCCAATTGATCGTGAGCCCGGCAGCCACTGAGCAGCGCCAGATCGACGTTGCTCTATTTAGAATCGAAATTAATTTATGAGGCACCTTGAGCATTTATAGATATTTTCATTATCATTATTATTTAATATATAATCATCCTTCTTGTCAGTTGCAATTGCACTTGTGCAATTTCTTATTTATTAGTTTATCTGAATAAACTGTTGTTTAAAAATGTATTTGCTTTCTCATGTTAAGTTTTGAAAGGTCGCTTGTATTTCCTGCATTAAAGGTACTTAGCCCATTTGCAGGCCCCCAAAATGAAAAGGTTAAATTCAAATGGCATTTGAAAGATAATACTAATTTAAAACTCCCCTTAAAAAAGGGGGGCTTGAAAATGTCTTTAAGTGGGAAAATAACGACTATTAGTTGCCAAATCGACTTACATGTAGGAGCTATAGAGCCAATAAGTAATAACCTTGATTTTCAGACCATTGTACCGCATGGTCGTACGTTTTATGCTGCGCAAAGATTCAATCAGTTTAGTTTTGGCCATTACAAGAGGTAGGTTAAACTTGATGTAGACAAATCCTTTACAGCTCATTTTATGTATGTTATTACCAAAGAAGAAAAAGGCCAGTCACTCACTCAATACTGACAATAGTGTCTGACAGTGAAGTCTAGCAAGTAAACGGGTTTCCTCCCATAATTTGAATATTAGGACACTGCTAACGTTTCAATTTCACAGATAGGACATACATGACATATTCATAATTCCTACAAAGTCCGACAGAATTTGAGGTTGGCTGCAAAAGGGACATAGTATCTTTAATGTGCTGTCGTTAACAACAACACTAATGGTATAGCTCCGGAGGTGCACATCGAAGTGTATTAAAACTGAATTATGTTTTCAGTTCATAAAATGTTATTAATTACATGAAAATTATCGTTATTAACATATTTTTAGTGGAGCTTCTCAATGATTCGTCACCACTTAATGTCTACCTTCGAAGTGGACTAGTGGAGTAGTCTTGGAACGTCATTTTGAATTCAATGACTGTAAAGAAGATAGGGGCGAATGATTCAGGAAAGGTTTTCCGATCTAGGTCAAAAGGCCAGTAAATTTGCTTTCATATCATGTACAATATATCTGAAGTGCTTTGTGTTTCTCTAATGGACATTCGACTACCACTTCATAGAGACAAGACTCTTGCACCGCACTTATCAAGCCTTTCAATGTCATTAATTTAAGTAATATGTTACAATGCATGAAGCTTTTTCTTAACATATACGATTGATGAAAATATGAAAATAAAAAATTGTTCTATCGTTCAACTAATAGGGGACTGAAAAAACAACAACTTCTGTTTTTACATGTAGTTATACACCATTTTGTACATATCTATCGAACGGTCTTAAAGGCATCGTTTAACAATGTAAATCTAATATGCATGGCCCTACGTGTTATCAGTGCATGTGATATGGTGTAATATTGAAGCCCTAACAAAATTGTGCTTCAAAATGATCATGACGTTCCTCAAAAAGGTAAAATCTTTGAGTGACCGGTTTTCATTTTTCCCAATTGACTTTAGTGGTATAAAAACCGTTGGGAAAACGTTGGGTTTTTTGAAATTTCAATTTCCAATCATAAATATCTTGATAATCAGACAGGCGATCGGCTTGTAAAAGTCAGGATATTCCTGACTGACCCAAATGTTTATAAATATGATTGCAGCATGAGCTAAATCCAGGATTTCGTTTAGAATCTGAGGCAAAGATACCCAATCCCTTTAATCATTTTTTTTTATCGCTTGCATAATTTTTTTTTAATTGGAACTCTGACATTTATGTACATGCAGAACTAACTATGTAAATCTGTTTTATGATACGTTTGTTTTCATTGTCGGGGCACGGGATTGATTGAGTTTCCGTTGTTTATAAGGCTTTGACAAATTCTTTTCTTATTACATTTAAATGAATATCGAGGAACAAATTGTTCGGTCAAGCCCGGATCCGCCTTCTTAATTACGTACATTCAAAAGGTTACAATAAAAGTTCACAATCAAATGATCACAACATATCTCATGATCTCAGAGAGCCTGCAATCTAAAAACAAATAGGTAATTACAGGTTATCCCAACCTGTGCCGCAAATCTCAAGTGTTCTATGTTCTCCTAATGGACATGTGGCACTCCATAGACATGGTAGAGAAAACACTTAGGCTTCTATCTACCATAGGCAATTAATTACATTGGTGTGACGTCAGTTAAACATTTCGTATTTAGAGAGAGAGAGAGCCAGCCTTGTACCATATACATGTTGGCAATGCTGTTTGCCAGTTACCCTGGCCACGCAGCCAGTTGCGGTTCTGTGGTGGGAAGGGCTCATATCCCCAACATATCTACACGCCACCCCCCCCCCCCCCTCCAAACAAAAATGTATCGAATACAAAAGAAATTAAGTAAGAGACGTGTATAAAATGAATGCAAGAACTCTAATATCCCCATCCCCTCCCCCTTCCAGAAAAAAAAATCCTAAAACACCGCTCCTCTACACAAGTGATATTTCATAATCTTAGAAGAGTATTGGCTTCTTTGTTTCCCCTTACTTTTTGTCTCGTGTTTCTTCTTCTGTTGATGATGATGATGGTGATGATGATGAGAAATAATAGAAATTCTATCAGAATTTCCTTCAACTTTTATTTTCTATCATTCAGATGCCAATTTATCATTTTAACTTAAGTTGAAAGCCCATATTTCAGTCTCACAGATGCGAGTTGATTCTTCTTGTGAATCATACAATCGGTATATTGACCAAGCCCCCCCCCCCCCACCCTCCAACCCAAAGCTGATTATCAACATGTTTCCATCAAGCCAATTATCAGTTGTGAAGTAAGAGTTCATGGGGAACCCCCTCCTCCCTCCCCCTCACACAGATGCCATTAAATAATTTGAATTTGAAACAAGCTAGCGTTCCAGAGTTATCCCGTGGGCTGAATTTTGCCCTTTAAGTTGATCCAAATTTGAAAGTCGTCTCTTTTCTTTTAGTCACGTAACATTTTCAAAGACCTTAGTGTACCTTGAAACACTTTAATGTTATAAGATTCGTAGCTCAACATTAGCGCTCATAAATTTCTGCTTTGTGTGTTTTAGCGCCTCTTCCTCCCAAGGCCCTCTTGTCTGGTTTTCAATCCAATTCTATTTATAATATCACTTGTTAATTTCAGGGTTGCGAGTCTAACAGACTTTTACTGCTTCATTTAAGAGGCTCTTACACCCAAGGGAACCCATTTGTGCAAGCCTGAAATACCGTCTTTTATATATTGTCTTGCATCAAGCAGAATCGAATCGCTGAATTGTTTTCATTTGAATCTTTTGGAAACTGTGAAAGTGCCGGAAATATATAACCGTCTATTGTTTGAATATTCACAATGGCAAACTTCGAAACAAGAAGTGGCACAGTACATTAGCTTTTGAAGACAATACATTGACAAAACTAAAATTTGCTATTATAAAGTGCAAAGTACATTCTACCGTAGCAAAATAGAAAAAGAATAAACAATCTTTTCGTTTACTGTTTAATTTTATTATTATTATTTAATATTAGTTAACTTCCTATGCTCACTCACAGGCTTTATAGTTTTTCTTTCACATTTAAATAATCTATTGTCACGGCAATGGGTGACGCAAAACAGTTGTTATATTGCGATTATAAACCGTTCTCGTCTTCAACTACACTGTTGTAATAATGATTTGAGATTGATCAACACAGTTATAAAAATATATACACGTTATCCATCAAAAATAAAAAATTTGTGACATTCATTATATGCATACAAATATTTATTTTTTCTTTAACTCTATTGGCAACAGTGTTTGTGTGTTGATGCGTACAATCCAGTCGCTTACCTGCAATACTTGAAGAGAAGTATACGTTTGAATGTCACTCTGAATAGCGGCTTGCAGCAGATGTAAATGATTGGATTAAGGAGACTGTTGAGATAGCCTAACCAGAGAACGAACCGATCAAGAGACTTGGGTATTTGGCAGTTGAGACAGAATGGCTTAATAACGTAGAGAAGAAAGAAAGGAAGCCAACAAACCACAAACGCCCCCATGATGATTCCTAAGAAACAAGGGGAAAAAAGATAGGAATATTGGCATGATTAATCAGTGTTAAAGGTACTATGTCCCGTTTGCAGGCCAAACAAAATGAAAAGGTTGAATTCCAACGGCATTTGAAAGACAATACTAATTTAGAACTTCCCTAAAAAGTCAAAATAAAACAAAACAAAAGGTTATCAACATTGATCGTTTCCTTTTTACTACAAGACTATCTGACAAGGGGAAACAAATAAGTTATTCAGATTTAACTTTCTATACTTATTTCAAAATTCTCTAGCTAGCAAAAAAAAACAATTTAAAATCATTATTTCGGAGATGGAAGGCACATTTTCGGACTTCTGTACTAGGCATGTTGCCTAAATCAGCCTGAAATGTGATACATTTCAAAGAATAATTGATATGATTCCTAAATACATTCGACTAAGAGGCAATAAAGAGAGGATCTGATAACAGAACTATGCTAAGACTTAGATTTGTCTGGATGAAAATCTTGACATTTCCCATTATCATATAGAACAAGCTACAAAACACTTTTATACGGGATATAATTGTTATTCAAGACTTGTCCAGAAAGAAGAGAAATGGAAATTAAGCGCTCAGATACGATTTATAGATAAAATCAGGGATAATTATTCCCTCTGCGGCACGTTTTCCCACCAGTTCTTTAATTTGGACGCACTGCTCAATCACACTGCCTATTACAATATGAAGACGTATTTGATACAGATTGATTTTAAATTAGTTTCAAGAAGGTCTGAATTCCATGAACTTTTAAATTATTTTGCTCAATCAGGTGAGATGTTAAAAAAGGTGAAAATAACCTTTTCTTGATATACACGTGTTGATCTATTCAACTTTTGTATTTATTTATTTATTTATTGTGGTATAAATAACATTGTACATGGCAGCCTTTCGGCTGAATTGAGTGCAATAGTAATAACACAAGGATACTGCACAAAATACAATAGTATTACAAAGTCATTAAAAATAGTACATTCATAACAAACAATTATAGGTACACCTTAGATCAAAGAATATTGATGGTGAGATAACGGAAGTGGGTAATTGATGTGGAAAAATAAGTGTTTTATGATATGACTTGAGAAAATTCATAGGAAGAATATAATAGTTGAATAAATTATGATCAGTGCAAAGAAAAATTATCTGTTTTGCATGCTTCAAAGTAGGCCTATAATGTCATGTGAGCAAGGTACATGTATATGGAGAACAAAATGGACATATAATTCACCTAAGACGAATGGAGAAATTATAGTTTCACTTCCTATTATTGGCTAATAGAGAATATGGTTTGTAATGCAATATTGAAATTAATATAATCCGTATAAATAAAACATGTACCTTAAGTGAACAGTATAATTTTTCATTCAAGCACATCTATAAGATAACAATTTGATTTACGTAAATGCTTAGCATTAAGAACAAGAGATCTGTCTTTACATTATTCCAGTTTTGAATTGAGTAACCTCACAATGAAGGGGAGTGCGCTCTTTCTGTAGCGCTCATTTTTGCATTTTATTTCTGAATAGTCTTTAGCGTTGCGCAGGTTGCGGGAAGTGCGGGAAGCTCGCGTAGGGGGGAGCCAGTGATAGAAGGGGGACGTTTCCTTTGTGAGGTTACTCGCAAATTTCTTTGTTAAGTGCGTGTATTAGATTTAACACGTGTTTCAAAGGGATGACGGTTTAGTGAAGGGATGCACTGGTGCCAGGCGCGTACAAAGGGGGGGGGAGGTTTGGGGGGTTAACCCCCCCCCCCCCCTTTGGTAATTGTTTGTGTGTAAATCCCCCCTAAATTTCTCTAAACCCCCCCCCCCCCTTTTTGGATTTTTTTTTTTTTTTTTTTTAACATAAAAAAAAAAAAAAAAAAAAAAATATCCCCATGGTTGAACTAAAAAAGCTGACCTTACCCCCCCCCCAACGGAGCAAAATGTCAAATTTTCAAATCTCGAGACCGAAAAAAAAAAGTGTCCTCCCCCCCCCCCCCCCCCCCCCCCCCCCCCCCCCCCCCCGCTTATTCAGCGGTCGGCTGAGTCGTTGCGATTTTTTTGGGACCAAAAAAAAAAAAAAAAAATGACCTCTTATCCCCCCCCCCCCCCCCCCCCTCCCCGCTTATTCAGCGGCTGGCTGAGTCGTTGCGAAATTTTCGGCCCGATTTAGAAAATGTTAAACCCCCCCCCCCTTGAAAAAATCCTGCGTACGCGCCTGACTGGTGCCACATAGCTGATTACTCAAATGGATCGTTTATTGGACAGGAAAACAGATTCATACAATTTCTCAAAAATGGGAAAACATTTGTTAACCGTCTGTGTCTTTTCTTCATAATTAATTTTAGAAGTATGATATTGCATTGATTTATTCTCAATGATTTTAATTCCAGTGGTAATGATTATGATGATCATGGTGTTCGCGAAGTTCGATGATGACGAGCAATAATTAATTGTGTTAATGATGATTAATGGGAGCTCTACTAAAATGGTGGGGTCTAAGGAGACGCAAAAAGAAGATGACGCCCCTCTTCCAAACCCTCCCGTCCTTCGATCGAAAGCCTTCTTCTGTAGCATTTCATCCAGCGATCATCCACCCCAAACCCTAGTCTACAGGTGTAGACGTACCACAGTTCATGAAACCTGGAGCAGAGCTCCGCTCTGTCAGTCTAATCATTTTTCCCTTTCTCTTTTCTGCTTCATTTAAAATCGCTAATGCAATTTGAATTCGGCGTAATTATTCATAAATGAATGATACACGCCATAAAAGCTAAAACAACAACAGAATTAGTAGGTCCGTGGTCTGAGTCAGAGCAGAGTAGTCAAGCCTCTCCGTTTCCGTGTCGCGCACCCATGCAATTCAGCTGATAAAATAACACACCCTCAACGTTGCAGTAGAACTTGCCATTCCTCTCATTCTGTGCCCCGATAAAGCACAGAGCCTATGAAGGATGCCTTCAGAATATTCTAACAATGCTAACAGTGTTATGCACAACAGTTGATAAGCTAGGCATTGTGCTTGCAATATATCACCATGACATCAGTACTCTCCCCCAATGACTAAATCAAACCCAGACTACGTCATCGACTACAGCAATGTATTTGTTGGCAATATTGATGGTACTACATTTCATGTGTTCTTTAATGAAAAACTATTTTTTATCAACCCAATGCTTCCATGGCTGTTCTTATTCATCTCACTATGATGTGTAACGAAGCTTGAGTTTTAGCTTTTCATGAGCCAGTGAACGTAACCACCAACCAAGAGCACAGTGTTTGCATAACCATCAGAGGTGGATCTAAGGGGGTAGGGGGTTTAACCCCCCCCCCCCCCCCCCGGGCTGCCAAGTGAAAATGTGATGTGCATAAAAAACGGCATCATATGTCCAGACCCACACAGTAGGCCCATTAGTATCTGCCACTTACTTACGGGGTTTCAAAATAGCAAAAAGAAAATCGCGTCGCCGCTATGCGGTTCGAACCCCCCCCCCCCCCCCCCCACCTAAGAAAAATGCTAGATTAGCCCCTGACCATGACAGCGATAATTTTTGCTGCCATCACTATTTTGATACGACTTTGTTACCGTGTTCATTCGGGAAAAATGTAATAACAAATGGATTAAAGCCCTGTTAACAAATGCTAATCGGCCAATACATACATATATAAGCTCAATTTACATTTCACCTTAATGAGTATGAGCCTCTCCAGTATGACGAGGGCCATGTTTCACAAAGACTGAAATCGACTAGAGTTAGAATGGAACTATGGCAGGCCGGTCATGGCACTGGTTGTTATCACCATCTTTTAGGGACGTGCACACCATGATTACAAATCTAAAGATTTTTATTTTTGTGGATAGTTTATTGTTGAAGACAAAAAAATCATCTGAAGATTTTGATTTCTCGCGCATTTTTCTTCTAATTTTATATCTGGTTCAAGATTAAATATGTTATGGGGCATAATCAAGTTTCCTTCCATGGTATGAATTCAAAGTCATTTTTTTTCTTCCACACGATATAAATGAAGGAAATGTCAACTCCGGAGATTTGTGACAACGATTTACTCGTCCCTTGAGAGACAAATTGCGGGAGCAACCAACGGCATGAAAGGCCTGCCATAGTTCAAGAATTGTTTTCCTATGAGTACTGCAGGAGACATTTATATATTAATCGTCGTCATAGTATGCCGAGTTATTCATTGACAATAGTGTATCTGAACCCTGTCGTCAGGGACTGGGGGATGGCATGACACCTTGTCAAGTAAATAGGACACTCTGCTCTTCATGTCTTTTGTGCAGAGGCGACGCTCGGTGGGGGGGGGGGGGGAGACACAGTAATCCAACAAAAACAAACAAATTAAACGGGAAAAACGAGAGAAAAGAAGAAAAACAGAGAGAAAGGAAGAGTTGTGAAATAACATGAAGAGAAAATAATTTAGCTCTCCCAAATCTTTCCATTGTAACGGTATATATCATGGAAAAACAGAGAGAAAGGGAGAGTTGTGAGATAACATGAAGAGAAAATAATTTAGCTCTCCCCAATCCTTCCATTGTAACGGTATATATCGTGGAAAAACAGAGAGAAAAGGAGAGTTGTGAGATAACATGAAGAGAAAATAATTTAGCTCTCCCCAATCCTTCCATTGTAACGGTATATATGATGCTCTCGCAATTCATTATCCTCATATTTTCATTAATTGCCCGGGACCTAGGCCTACGCTTCGCCTCTGTCCTATGGAAAGTATCAAAATTTGTCGCCCCTCCCCCCCCCCCCCCCCCCACCTGCTCCAACCCCTACCAAATATAGGCCTACATTGAGCTCAAATTGTTAAATACAGTACGTGGGCTGTAACCTCCGACAATAGCTTAGGTATACAAATTATCATTCAGCGATTCTTCTGCAGGCATTCATTTATTCCACTTGTGTATAAACAGCGTTCATAATAGGTCCATGTTGTAATATTTGTGGACTATAACAACCATTGTTAAGAACTGGCCTTTGTGAT